GCTGGTATTAAATTGGTGGAATTATCAGTCATTGTTTCAAATATTTTTCCTGTTCCTTTCTCTCTTTCTTCTTCTTGTATTCCCATTATGCAGATGTTACACTGTTGTCCCACAGTTCTTGGATCTCCTGTCCTGGTTTTTTCCAGTCTTTTTTCTCTTGCTTTTTAGTTTTGGAGGTTTCTATTGAGATAGCCTTAAGCTTGGAGATTCTTTCCTCAGCCATGTTTACTCTGCTAATGAGCTCATCAGAGCCATTTTTCATTTTTTAGTATTTCTGTTCTCTAGAACTTTTTTTGTTTCTTTCTTAGAATTTCCACCTCTCTGCTCGCATTGCCCATCTGTTCTCACATGCGGTCTGCTTTATCAATTAGCATATTAATCTCACAACCCTGAGATCACCACCTGGGCTGAAACCAAGAGTCAGATGTTTAACCGACTGAGCCACGAAGGTGCCCTGAGCCTGATTTTAAAGCTTTCTCTGTCTTCAAACTGTGTTGTCTTTTAGTATGTCATGTAATTTTTCCTTGATAGGTGGGTGGGCATAATGTACTGGGTAAAAGGAATTGCTGTAAATAGACAGGCTTTTAGTGATGTGGTGGTAAGGTGTGAGGGAAGGGGAGGTGTTCTTTAGTCCTGTGATTTGGCCTCAGTCTTTTAGGGCGCCTGTACTTCTAGACTGTGAACTTCATAAATGCTTCTCCCGTTTCCCCCTCTCCTCTTGAGGTAGGACAGGATGGCTAGAGTAGGCTAAAGTTGGATGTTTCCCTTCCCCCAGAGCAGTTAGGCTTTGTTTAATTCTAACAGGTTAGGCTCTGCTTAATAGCATCTCCTGAGGGCAGACCTTGTTAATAGAATTCTCTGACATACTTCAGAATGGTTCCTTTTCCCCTCCTCCTGTAGGAGGTAGTGGGGTGGGGGGGTTCTCATTGTGAGAACCGGGGACAAATGCAGGAGCTAAAACTAAGAAAAGTGTGGGGGATTGCAGTGGCTGATTCTTCCTGGATTTTTCAGCTCCCAGACTGTGCATTAAACTCTCACAGTTTGCCAGTTACAATTCAGGGCTGCCCCAGTACTGCTTCCCACCAATGTTTCAGCTCCTGGTTTTCTGCTCTGGTGAATTAGGACTCTCTGTCGGTCACTCCAGTTTGGGCATCAGTAGTAGTTTGCCCTGTGACCTCACTTCCAGTATGGATCTAAGAAAACTTGTTGATTTTTCCGTTTGTTAAGCTTTTTACTTTTTTTTTTTTTAGATTTTATTTATTTGAAAGAGAGAGCACAAGCAGAGGGAGAGGGAAGGAGAAGCAGGCTCCCTGCTGAGCAAGAAGCCCGATGTGGGTCTCGATCCCAGGATCCTGGGATCATGACCCGTGCCGAAGGCCGCCGCTTAACCGACTGAGCCACCCAGGAGTCCCAAGCTTTTTACTTTTTGTTAGGATGTAGTGGCAACATTCCAAATTCTCCATAAACCTTTTATCTCTAAACATTGCAATGGAGGTGTGTGTAATTGGTTTACAAGATAATAGAGTTGTCTGAATTTCCACCTGCATCTCAGCTTTCATTGCATGAACACTAGTTTCAAGATCTACCATGTAACAGAACAATAGGTAGGAGGAACTTTCCAGCAGCTAGCCTGTATACACACACTCCTAAGGCACAACACTGTTCCAGTGAGTTCTAGTGAACAAACTACTTTGAATAAGTTTTCCTATGTTCATATTGTTTGTAGAGTAACATTAGAGCTTTCCATATTTCAAACACTTTTTTTAATGTAATAAGTCTAGTCTTTCCTGTTTCATTAAGTAGACAGCAAAGTAATTTCAAAATCTCTAGTATAACAAGAATGATGAAAATAGCATACTACTGTATTTCTGCTATAATTCTCTAAACATACAGCTTGAGGATGTGAACAAAACATTTTTTTTTTAAAGATTTTATTTATTTATTTGAGAGACAGAGAGGGCACAAACGGGGGGGAGGTACAGAGGGAGAGGGACAAGCAGGGGAACTTGACTTGGGACTAGATCTCAGGACTCAGATCATGACCTGCCCTGAAGTCAGATGCTTAACTAACCAAACCACCAAAGCGCCCCTGAACAGAGCATTCTCTTCTTATGATTCCCAAATCATTCATAGCCTTCACTATATTCTGTTGTCAATACTAATTAAATGATAATTTAACTTATTTTTCGTTTCTTTATTGATTTTCCATTCTATACAGTTTATTTTAGTCAGATTCATTCTGTTGTTAAGCAGTGTGAGATGCAGCTGTCTTTCAGCGAAAACCAAAGCAGAAGTTGATCATCTCATGCTGTCAGGCATGCATGTTTTTATGTATCTGAATGTGCGGGAAATAGAAGTAGCGTATCTAATCATATTCACATTTTGTTTACGGCAGAATGAGATTTAGGAACAACTTTTTCAATAGGATGTTTTCTCAAAGGAACTTCGGGAGGGCAGATCTCAAAAAAATATTTATCAACTACTGAAAATGATTGTCAGTCTGTAGCAATGCTTATTCAAGTTTTAGGCCTCCTGAATCATATTCATGAAGACATCTTAAAGCATTTAGTTTTTTTTATGGAATAAGAACTACACTTGTTGCAGATGTTTTGTTTTCCTCTAACATTTTCTACTTTTTCAAAAATACTTTTCTTTATGTCCAGATCAAAGGTTATTATGGGTGGAGATGATTTATTTTGGAGTTTCTCTTGTGAAACTTTGAGCTAAGTTGATATGATTTTAATTAATTTTCACATAACATGAAGAATTGCTAAAGGTGTATTTTTCTTGAAAGCTCCAGGGATTAAATAGAGTAAAACATTTTACTTAAAAGTTAATGTTTAATGTTATTTCACTTAGTGCACTAAAATTCTAGGAAGGTGAGAATTATGATATAAATGCAATTCTGTTATCCTGTCTTTTATGATTATATAAGTTCTATTAGCATCCATTTACTTAATCATAAAATGTTTATGCTAATTTAGATAACCTACTCTTTATATTGTCAGTTTCCTTGTTTATTTAACTGTTTGATAGTTCTTGTTTTAGAACATGAAGCTAACAGCTTTTGTGATTATAAGTATTTCAGCATTTCAGTTTTGCAATAGTACACTTACCTCTGCTTATTAAATGTTAACACATGATGCCCATAAGGAAGTTCTTCATGTTTCAAATAGAATTCTTACCTTTCTTTAAAGTGAATATTCAAATAATACCACAAATCCAAGTGTCATGCCTTATTTGTATTACTGACAATGTTAGACTAATTATAATTGGTAGTAATCTATTATGTTGATTACTCCTAAGTTTTGTGATACCAGAAATAATGTGAAAGTAAGCATTTAGTCGTTTGGCTTTCTTGAAACTGAAGCCAAACTTGGTAAAAATCTGCCTTCAATTATAAATTCATAATATCTTTTAGAAGGAAATATTTTAGGGCGCCTGGGTGGCTCAGTCGTTAAGCATCTGCCTTCGGCTCGGGTCATGATCCCAGGGTCCTGGGATCAAGCATCGGGCTCCCTGCTCCATGGGAAGCCTGCTTCTCCTTCTCCCACTCCCCCTGCTTGTGTTACCTCTCTCGCTATCTCTCTCTCTGTTGAAAAATAAATTTAAAAAATCCTTAACAAAAAAAAAGAGATATTTTAAAATATTTTTATAAATTTATTCTTTTCCTGTCTTCCTCTTTGTAACTTGCCCTTTCAGGAGATTCTGTGGATATGTTTCTTGAGGTCTCATTTATTTTCCTTTTTCTCCTTCACTTTTTGATAGTTACTCATAGTAATGGCAAAATATAAAAGTCCTATCTTTTAGCATTTATTTCTTCCCTTATTCTAGTGAGTTTGAACATGTTTTCTTCTGCTATTTAATTCTCTGCTTTGAATTGTCTGTTCATATCTTTGTTCATTTTAAGATACTGTTTTTTGGGGCTCAGTCGTTAAGCGTCTGCCTTCGGCTCAGGTCATGATCCCAGGGTCCTGGGATCGAGCCCCGCATCGGGCTCCCTGCTCAGCAGGAAGCCTGCTTCTCCCTCTCCCACTCCCCCTGCTTGTGTTCCCTCTCTCACTGTATCTCTCACTGTCAAATAAATAAAATCTTTAAAAAAAAAAAAAGATACTGTTTTTTGTTGTTATTTTTTAAAAACTGCATCTCAGTGGGGACCCAGGGTGGCTCAGTTGGGTAAGTGTCCAACTCTTGGATTCAGCTCAGGTTGTGATCTCAGGGTCTTGAGATAGAGCCTTACGTTGGGTTACCTGCTGAGCAGGGAGTCTGCTTCTCTTCCTCCCCCTCTGCACCCCCCCCCGGCTTGTGCTCGCTCATGCTCTCTCTTTCTCTCTCTCAAATAAATGCATAAAAAAATCTTTTTTTTTTTTAAAGGCTGTATCTGTGTTTTCCTTTATATATATTTTTGTTACCTTCCTCCTAGAAAAATATACCCATCTAGAGAAGAGTTTAAAATTGATCTGCATTTTATTCTAAGCCTACTCAAGGTAGGGAGTTGGAACTCGGATTCTTCAGGGTCTGTACCCTCAGTGAAGCACCTCTTAAGAAGAATTCAGAATTAAACATTGAAAAAAAAAATCCCAAGAAAGTTATCCATCATGAGCAGCAAGAGCCCAAACACAACTAACAACAGGAATAAATTCTGCAGGAGCTTCAAGTAATACAGTTGTTGGATTAAGAATATAAAGTATTGGGGCTCCTGGCTGGCCCAGCCAATGGAGCATGTGACTCTTGATCTCGTGGGCATGAGTTTGAGCCCCAGGTTGGGCATAGAGTTTACTTTAAAAAGAAATAAAAAATTGTGAATCTTCCCTTAACAAAAAGAATATAAAGCATTTGAAATGATTAGAGACTTAATAATAAGCGAGAGGTAAGAAGAAACCTTTAAGAAGATAACCAGGCAGATTTTCAAAAGAAGCCAATGAAATATATTTTCTGGATAGGAATGGTTTATTTTCATGATGAAAAAAGTGTACTCGTTTACATTGAAAGACTCAGTGGTGCTTGTTTTGGCAGTACATATACTAAAATTAGAACGATAAGGAGAAGATTAGCATGGCCCCTGGGCAAGGAAGACATGCAAATTCATGAAGTGTTCCTAAATAAATAAGTAAAGGCTCAGTGAGTAATAGTTTAGCATTCAATTTAGACACAGCTGTGGAGAGAATAATGAACTGGAAAATAGTATTGAGAAAGTTACCTAGAATGTAGCAGAGCCAGAGATGTCAAATATGGTAGAAAGAATTAAAGATGATAAAGGATGGTAATAAGTCCTATATGTCCTATTTGGAGTCCTGAAGAATAATTGAGGAAATCTAATATTTGAAGGGTAATATTCCCAAATTGAATATTTATGATGGACATGTTCTGAGAAGGATTGATAAAGCTATGTCTATATTGAGACACATTAAGTGAATCTGTAGAATATTGAGGACAAAAAAAAATCTAAAACAATGAGAATTAGACAGAGGAGCAACAGTTAAACAAATACCAGACCTTCAAACACCAACTAAAGGTTAGGAAACAAAAGAATTATATCTTCAAATGCTGAGAAAAAATAATTGTCAGTTCTGAACAGAACTTCCCCAGCTGACAAGTTTTAGCAGACTGGATTGCAGATGTAGCGAGGATACCGTTTTGCTGGGAATTACAAAAATATAAAACAATCACTTTTGTAAAAACAATGAAGGATAAAACAGCAATTTCAAGAACACAGAAGACATGAGGCATTTGAAGGCATACTAGGAAACAAATAGAAGAAGAAAATTCGTTATAGAAAAGTGCAGTTAGAAGCAGCACATTTGAAAACAGTGGGGAAGAAGGAACAAAATGGAAATGAACAAAGTTCAAAAGGATGGGCAAGATGTGATATATACGGGAAAAGGGGGAAGAAATACAAGTATGCATAACTGGTATCTTAAATAGAAAGGCAGAATTTTTTATTAAATCAGCTGTTTTGTTTTTTTAAAGATTTTATTTATTTATTTGACAGAGACACAGCGAGAGAGGGAACACAAGCAGGGGGAGTGGGAGAGGGAGAAGCAGGCTTCCCGCAGAGCAAGGAGCCCGATGTGGGGCTTGATCCCAGGACCCTGAGATCATGTGACCTGAGCCGAAGGCAGACGCTTAACGACTGAGCCACCCAGGCGCCCCTAGATCAGCTGTTAAAAGCATAATATAAAGATATTGTCTAAAATAATAGAAAATTTCTGGGTGCCTGGGTGGCTTGGTTGGTTAAGTGTCTGCCTTTGGCTCAGGTCATGATCCCAGAGTCCTGGGTTAGGGTTAGGGTTAGCCTCAGTGGGGAGTCGTCTTCTCCCTCTCCCTCTCCCCCTCCCACCCACTCCTGCTTGCTCTCTCACACTCGCTCTCTCTCTCAAATAAAATCTTTTAAAAAGATAAAAATGAATTAAAAAAT